TTTCCCTACCTGGGTGGGAGGGGGATCAAGAGCGTTATTGCCACTGGCCTAATCACTAATCCTGAGCCAAACCATGACAATGCTAGTCAGTTAAAATAAAGAAGGCTTGAAATGTAAACATAACCCAAAGATTCTGTTCAAATGAATTAGCTTACTTGTAACAGAGTATTACTCTTCTGAACAGCAAACTCCTATCAACGTACCAGCTGTGACTGGCAATGAGATTAAAACAAAAGAACACTTCACTGGTGATATATTATTTTCATTTGTTTTTATGCATTTCTATGGGCCAGGCAAATCATGCTGCTGAATTTAATTGCATTTAACACCTACATGTGTTGCTAATTGCTATCTGAAATGTTTAGCCGTTAAATTTTTAGCTGCTACACCATTTTAATGGCACAATTACTACGACTAGCTGTATCAAAGCAGACGAAGTCTTTAATTCCTAGTACCTGTCAAAAAAAAGCCACTCAACAGCACTGTTACTGCATGTAAATGAAGTCCAAAATTAGCACCCATGTCTGAAAGTTACTTTCTGATTGACTTAGCTTGTAATACGGTTTGCGTGGACAAAACTTCACAGTACCTTCTGAAAAGCAATTCATAGAGCTCAAACTTAAGAACCGAAGTCTTCTGTGTAGACATGTCCAATTTGTCTAACACTGAATGTCTAAACCATACACATAAATACAAAGTAAGATTACCTTCTTCAATTGATTTTCCATCTTCAAACATTCTTCCTTTTTCTGTTCCAATGCAATTTCTAGTGTCTTGAGTCTTGAATCTTTCTTCAGTCCTGATGATGCTAAGGATGAAGCGTGTTCCTTCAGATCCAGGAGGGATGTCTAAAATATAAGATGTACAATAACTGTCAAGTAAATACCCTTTATTTGCAACTGTTGCTTATTTTGTCTTTATTTTCTTCCTATCCTTTCACACTATGTTCAGGATCCAACTTACAACAACATATTTGTCAGGTTGTTCATATCACTGGATTAGGACAGCTTGATTTAATGAATGCATTCAGAATCAAAATAAAGCCTTTTCTAAATCATTTTTAAAATATTTTTTTAAGACTGAAGATTCTGTAAACTCAAACTAATACTTCAGTGATAGACTTGTTTAAGAAAAATTGGTTTAAAATAAAATTGTATTTTAAAATTAAATTTGGCCACAGCATACATATAAAACAAACTATTCTAAGAAAACAGATTAATTTTGGTGGTCAACCTCTTTCTCTGTGAGATCTCCTTGTAAAATGCTGACTTTCTCTTTCAGGTCCTTAATGTCCTTTTTGTAATTGTCAATCTCTTCCTGTTTTTCTCGTTCATCTCTGTCACGTTGCTCCTTTAGGCGCTCAATGGTCCTTTCCTGACAAAAGAAAGCACTCTGTGAAGAAAATCCCTCTTAGTTCAACTTAAGAGACTTCTTATCACAACACTTCTTACACACTTTAGTTGAGGAGTAGTGTAGGATATTGCCGTTTTCTTTATGGTTGTAAAACAGATCCTCAAGAAGAAAGAAAACTTGTGAAATCTCTGGATTCACTGCTAAGAAATACCAGGCTTTCTGTATCTCTGAAAGTTCACCATACTGTTAAAATGCAACACGATTTACCTGGTTCTGATAATAAAAATTAACCTAGACCAGGATACATTACACATTGCTTCCTTACTTATTTAAATCTTATTTTTCCAAAATATACAGTTAAGTCTGTGGCTCTTCAGAAAGGAAGGAGCGTAGTGCACATATGACACCAGGATTGATATATGGTAAGATAAGGCAACAAAGCAGCTTTCTGTACACTAGATGTCAATGCAGCTTTGGTTATCTTGGAAACCAAAGGGATGCAAGTGAATTCCCCAGTCTCAGGCAAAGCTTTTATTATAGAGTTTCACATTTATAGAATCTGACAGACTAAAAGAGCTTTAATCCTGATTCTCCAGAAATGAAGAAAAAATATCACCTCACCAAAACAGAATAGCAAGGCTGCTGTCTGTCAGGTGTCTCCTGAGTATTGGACAAGGGTAAAAAAATACAATGAGAACAGTAAAGTTGCAAATAAAGTGAGACTGAAATACAGCTGCATCAGAGTAACTAGTAATTTTGATTCAGTATTGAGAACTAAAACTCCATTTCACACAGCCAAGCTTTAAATGTATTATTAAAATATCTGAGCAAAGAAGGTAAAACAAATAGCCATTAGCTTGACTCTAATAAAAAAAGAAGAAATGGCAAAAAGCAGGAAAGCCCCAGCCGGTCCTGCAGCGGCCTCTGGTGAGGGAGAGGCCCTGAGGCACCAGGGATCTCTGGTGGAGGAAACCTGCGGAAAAGCCACCTTTGGAGGTTATTTGCAGAAGGAACCTTTCGAAGGAAGGCTTTCCATACTCACTTTTTCTGCCAGTGCTTCTTCCAGCGTGGTCAAGGCAGTGTCAGTGTTGGTGGTGTCAGCCTGCAAGGATTTCACTCGATCCTTTAAGCTGCTCATTTGCTTCTCCTTGTCTCTTAACTGTTCTTGGAGATTTTCAATCTTAAAAGAGAAGGAATACATTTTAAGAAAATAGCAAGCAAAGTAATCCAAAATAATCTTAAAACTCTTACAAATATTCTTAAAGGAAGTAGGCAAGGGTCTAGTTCCTATAACCCTACATTAAAATATCAAGCAATGCAGCCAAACCAAATATTAACAAGGAATCAGTAGCCTTTCCAATAATCAGGAAAGAATTCAGAACAATAAATTCTAAATAGTATTTACTAGAACATTGTAAAGAACGGATGATGTTCTTAATTTCCGAGGATCTTGGGCACTGCATAACTGAAGGATAATCAATGTGTTAGCAATATGAAAGGAAAAAAAGCTAAGAAAAACATTACTGCATATATAAACCAAAAAAAGGCACTTGATATTGAAGAAGTTGTAAAGGAGTACTGTTCTCAGTATTTCCTTTGATACTGTCATATTCTTTATTCTACTGGCATGTCGCTTTTTCATCTTACATGATGGTTTACTATGTGGTACACTAACACACAGCATCATTCCCCAGGTAGAAAATATACCAGCCTTGTTTTCTGTGGGTGTAGAATTCAATACATTTCTGAGCTCTGGAAACATCTTTTAACAGACTGAGAAGGCCTGATGCTAAATCCATTTTATGCATAAACACACATATCACAAGAAACAGACACATTAACATTATGATAACGTGTTTAAAACAAATTTATCAGGATTAAAGGTAGATTACTCAGTAGCTTCCTTGTTGCTGACAGCAGATGTACATCATAAACTGGTGAATGACATGTGGCATGTAAGGTACCTATCTTCCAAACACCTGTAGCAAGATATTCTTTCAAAGACATTTTTAAGAAATAAGGTAACCAGACAACCCCATTGAATAAGCTAAACTATAGCATAAACTTGCTTCAGCTGTAGAACAACAGTTAGCAGTTCCTCAGTTATTGGAAATACAGCAACTACTCCCACATTTTACTCATCAACCCTGGTAAAACTGGGCTGCTGTGATTACAGAGCAAATGGCTCATTAGGCATATCCACTATGTCTGTGCTATCTCTAATAAAATTAAATCTGGAACATAGTTTCAGAAAAGGGTCTGGATATGTGATGATAAATGTAAATGATTTTGCAGGAGGCTGAACATCTAGTCACAAATAACAGTAGATGTGTTACAAGTGGAAGCTAGGAGAAAGAACCTAATTCAGGGAAACACTTGCTGATGTTCCTCGGTAACCCATGACCATGGAACAAGTCTCCTAGTGTAAAACTCTTCACACTGCCTTTATTTTTTTCCCATTTCTTTAATGCAAGCACATGTAAACTTGCAATCCAGCTTTGTACACAATCTTATGTATTGTATATCGCTAATAGCAGAAGAGCTATGTGATGGGGTGTTTTTGTTGTTGCTTTTTTATGGAATGGACTAAAACTGGTTTTGGTTTAGGTTTACCTTTGTCATTATTTTCTATTAGAAAAAAAAATTTACCTCCAAATTATGGTTAAATCACAGTATGAAACAAATTTTAAAGACCACCAAAAAAATATAACCTGTGATATACCACGTGAGTCAGAAATAACTATAAGAATTGAAAATTCCTTCTTTATACATTCATATCTATTATTCAATGCCTTACTAGCATACACTTGTAGCCCATGGAGAAGGAACACTACCAGTATAGACTGAAAAGTTCTCCTGGCACCCACGTGTACAGTTCCCGAGGAGGTAGCATCCCCAAGAGCAGCCTCTGTGGCTGCTTTTGACCTTACAAGCTTTCAGTGTCGTCAGCTGTCTAGACAGGCTGGCTGTTTAGACAGCCAACCATGAAAATATACTACAAAGAAGGGTGAGCTATTCTTAGATTTTGTGTTTACTTCTGGAGGTGAAACACTCTTGCAAAGGCTCCAACTGGCTGAAGAGGAGATGGTGCCGGGTGACTTTCTGCTGTGAGCAAACCACACAGAAGAGACAGCTAAATAATTCATCTTAAGCTTATACTAAGGTGCTTGCCAAGGCAGCACGAGCATTTGCACAAGCACAGCATGCATTTTCATGTTTCAGTAACACTGTTTACTGTCACTGAAATAAGATGATAGCTGTACGACAGTACTATATGTGACTGCTCCGTCTCCCTCTTGCAAATGCTCACTTCTGTATTCCAAGAAATAGAAATAAAAATAATAAATGCAATTTGTAGAAAGTGTGACCCTGTCTATTCTTTCAGGCTACATGCCATACTTTTCAGTCTGAAGTAATGAGTGATGTTTTTTGCTGCCACCCAGAGAACAGCAGGTACACAGAAATGCTCTAAGTTATGCTAGCAGCGAGGTACTAAGAAACCCACTCTACCTACAACTGTGCCTTTTTCAGGGTCAGATAGCTGATGATCCCCAACTGAGACATGTCCTTAAAACTACAGAAAGCTACAACTGGTGATGTATCCAAATTGAAATACCTGTAAAATAACAGATGCAACATTTCCTTTATGATATCACAATCAGCAATCAATTATTTCATTTTTCTCCCAAACCTGCACTCCTGTAACACTTAGTAACTAAACTGTAGGTTCTACAAAATTATGTAATCTGAAGAAAGAAAGCAAAGAATAATCTTTACTTTGCCTGTATGGTTAATGAAGAATTTTGCTGTTAACTGCTTGCAAGTAGCTTGAGAATCCTTTTCAGAAGGAATATATAACATGTGATATTCACTTTACCATCCTTTTTTCCTACCCAACCACCAAAACCAAAAAAGGAATTCTGAACAAATTTTTAAATAACAGATAGAAATAAAACAGATAACCAAAAGAGAGTCTTTCTTTTCTCCCCAACAAAAGATGAAATAAATCACAATGGAATCTCCAAGCCCTCTGGAAAACATAAAGGGACAAGGACTGAATGAGTGCTATTTAGTCTTCAAGTATTTGGAAGATAATAAATTTCCTCTGAAACCTAATGAATATGTATTACAAAATTTCTCCCAAAAGAAAAATAAAACCATAAAATTACTAAACTATTAATAATCTTTATTCTTGCCATATATACTTATTTTACAGACTAAAGACAGCAATCTATGGCTAAGATGACAACACTAAGCTTACTGTAGAGGTACACTTACATACACCGGAATAATCTGCTTGGCACACAGATTTCCTCATCAGTAATGATTTACTGAAATATTTTTTTCCAACATTACTAGTTGTCAGGCACTATCATGTTTCAACCTGGTTGATTTATTCCTAGTTGTGTGGAACTAATTTAGCTTTCCAGCCCTGAAGCACAAGAGCAGAGGCAAAAGTTTCCTCTGGCATTCTGTTCCAAAGGCAAGGAAGCATTCTACTTTCTGTAACTACAAATCTCACTGAAAACCCCGAGCAAATGCAAATAAAAAACAGCCCAAGGATTTAAATTAGTCACATCTAGTTTAATACCCATCAGAGCCACTAAATTCCCAAATTCCTCTAATTAGATGTTACTAGGAGATTCTTTTTTTATCATGTTTCAAACAAGAAATCCTTCTGTAGAACCATCATGAATCCTAGGGTATGCAGAAATTGAACACTCAAAAAACAATTTCTATTGTATCAGTGAATTTCATTTTAGAATAAATGAAGTGGGTGTGAGAACTGGTCATGCAATCTCTTTTTTCTTCCTCACTGTGTTACTGGAAAACCACCTCTTTCCTCCTTCAAAATACTTGTTTTTAATCAAAGATCAACACTTTGCAATGGTAGTTTTTTCATCACCTAGGATGTACAGAGTTAACTGCATTTCTGTTCCTTTTCCCACTTTCAGTTTTCTTCTTGCTATTCTGCTAGACTTTTAAAACGGAATACAGTGGGGAAAGAAAAAAAAATTCAAAGTGGTAAAAGCCCTCAAATTTAGTTCATTCTGTGACAATAAGAAAAAAGTGAAACAATCCTCTTAGAAATACGAAGATTCAATTATCTTTGGAAATATTTTTTAAAATGCAAAATGTCCACTTTGAATTCAGTATATTTTTCAACTTGAGAAACTGAATTGTGTAATCCACTCTGTATGTATCTCCAATATGTAGCAACTAGCTATATTACTTACCTGCAGACAAATAATTCACTATACTTTTTTTTCTAAAAAAGGACAAAAATGCCTTTGCTCATACTCTGCACTTGAATTCCCCAGTGCAGTTCCACAAAGATATTGTTTTAATTGGTGACATGACATATTCTTCACTTATACAGAAGACAATCTATTTAACACTCTGAATATTAACCAATTTTATTTCAAGAGCAGATGTGCAAAAGAATTTGTGTGTGTTGCTAAGCCTCTGACTTTTTTCCATCTTCCACCTAGATTTCATCTGGTGGAAGCAATACTGTAAAAAGGATCTAACTAATCAGGTGGGTTAAGAGGTTTTCTGTTCTGTTCCTGTGGCATAGCCACCCAAATAAACCAAAACTTCACATAAGCTGTAAGCTTTCCAAGCAGTTCTTCCTGGGTTTTGTACAGGCACTATTGGTCACATCAGCTCCAGGGTCAATGACTATATTGAATCAATTAGACTGAAGGTAATGTTCTTGCTATTAATTTTAAGGTTACATTCTTCAGACTAGCAACAATGTGCTGAAGCTGCATGAATGCTGAAGCTTCAGGCATCCCATGTCTTGTTGCGAGGGTGAGATTTTTTAAGTTGAAGATCAGGATAGAGCAGAACAATTTTCCTTTTTTTAGTAACATTCTGGCAAACACAAGTCAGAGTTCCTCCCTAAGTTCAGCTGCATTTGGTATGCTCTTTTTACTTTGCAATCCAAGCCAATTGATGTAAATATGGTTAAACAGTTGTCAAGTTATATTCAGATTTTGTTCTGGAATTATCATACTAAAAATAATCTTCAAGTAGTTTGTGTATCAGTTAATTTCATAACATTTGTTAATCACAAAGTAAATTGAATACAGTATGAAATGCAAGATACCAGTGGTAGTCTCTCTCACTGTCTTTTTAAATAGCTTAATTTCTGGGGTTTCAGTTAACACTTGAGTG